GCTTACTTCGGTTAAGGTCTTAACATAAACATTGGCCAGCTCAGTTTTCTTCTCCTTCTCACCCTCGAGCACCATATTGACGAAGGCGCGACGTAGACGAGCTTCCCTTTCTCGGCCCGATTCAGAAGTTTCAGAACTTGCTTTAGTCCCAATGGACGCAAGAAGGCCTTCACAGAAACTCTTCTCGTCCTCGTCGACTTCGATATGAGTTGTTGCAATGGAGGGATTGAAGTTATGACTTTGAATTTTGTGCAGAAGGAATTGGCGGATCTCCTCAATGTTGTATAGATCGTCATCAAAGCGCTCAATCATCCAGCGCAGGTTAAGACAGGTGTTCATCTCGAATTCACGGTCTTCGTCCTTAGAATCGGAGTCGGCTTTAGCCTTAAGTCGGTTAGCCTCTGCCTCGAGAATCCTCCCCGCTCGAAGACCGTCATTATATTTCTCCTCGGCAAATTTAATCTTCTCTTCCTGAAGTTTGCCGAGTTTGGCCAGATGAGCATCTCGATCCTTCTTCAATAAGTCTTCGACTTCGGACCGACTTTTCCGAGTCACCTCGTGAGCTTCTTGTTCCTTATGAAGGAGACTTTCACACCGAGATAGCTATTCTTCAAGTATTTTGACGCGCTGCTCGGAAGTGATAATTTGACTCGTCAGCTTTAGAACATCATTATCGAGGCTAGCCTTATCAACTTTCAGAGCCTCAATCTCCCCCTGAGCGATCGTCAACTGCTCAGCTTGCTCTTCAATTTTAATTTGCAGCTCCTTCTCTTTAGCTGCCGCTTCCTCTTTCAGAGATGCAAGTGCTCCATCTCTGAGTTCGAGCGAGTGTTTCTTTTCTTCAACCTGGGCCGCGTTGAGTCGGAAATCATCCTCGGCCATCACTAGACTGACAAGTGCGCGACCCAGGCAAGCTTTGGCATACTTGAACTTGTATGCACTCGGCAGCGATGACACGCCGATCTCGGACCTCGGATCCCACACCATCATTGGGACCCGAGCAGCGTCAACGACATGCCCCGGGAGTTCCACCGTGCTTGAGATCTCGGGAATCTCAACTGACTCGAAAGTCGAGAACCACTTCTCGACCGATTCCCGAGGCTGTCTAAAATTCAAAAATCTCTCTTCATCAATTGGCAAGAAGGATCGATCCACAAGCGGTTCCTTCTTCTTTTTTCCACGATCATCAGCATCGTGCTTCTTTTTCCTCCGCTCCTCGGCAGCTGGCATACTCTCCGCACGCCTTTTTCTCGACCGAGTAACTGGCACTTCATGCTCGGCAATAATTTCTCGGCCACCATCAGGCTCATCAGAAGCTATGTTAATAATAAACGGATTCTCTGCAGCAGCAGCCTCAATAACTGGTTCAACTTCAGATACAGCAGCAGTAGCAGCAGCAATGGCAGCCATAGGACCTTCTGCTGCAATAGCCAGAGGATTCGGCTGCGGTACCTCGATTGCAGCCGTCGACGTCGCACCATCACCGACATCGGTTTTCGGCGGATTCATAATCGGGTTCTCCAGATAAGCCTTCACCAACTTCTTACGACCCATTCCTGATAGACGTAATTCTTTACTTTTTCCGACTTTGGTTCGAAGATCTAGATTCGGACTCTTTTGGCGGAAAGCTTTTGCGTCTCGGATGGTCTTGAAACCGAGAACCCCGATGAGTGGATAATAAACTGCAGAGCGAAAACCAAACCGAGTTACAACTGATCTCGAAAGTAACCGACTTCGAATAAGATGACAAAAATTTTACTCAAGTTTACCTGGTTGGAATAAATTATCAGAAATTTCGGGACAAAGACCAGCCGCTTTCAGCCTCGTGTTCTTCAGAATCAACTTAAAGCTACGCTGAGTCTTCTTCAATTTGAACAACTCGGTAATCCTCTCTTTCAAAGTTGAGCTGAGTTTTGATCCCTTGCTTTTGGCTGCAAATAACAAGACCTGTTAGTACAAAAATAAGCAAGGTCAGAACAACTCGGTAGAAAGAAATAAAACAAAAAACTTACAAATTGCGGAATTAATATTGATAGGAATCGTCATCCCATCAATTAAATGTTTTGAAAAATTTGGAGTCTGTCAATCTCCTCCAACCCATAACCATTCCTCTTGGAATCCATGGAGTGAATCGGGAATATCGGTTATTAATTCACCGATCTTCAACCCTTCTTGAGGTCTTCCCGCACAAGCATAACAGATCAGCGGATCTGTAACTTGCCTATCAGCGCATCGTCTGAATGAATATAGATTTCTGATTTCTTCAACGGTTGGCATATCCCAACCCTTCTCCTTCAACAGCACCATGAGCCCGATTATTCTCTTCCATGAATTCGGTGCTATCTGGCATAGGCCTATTCCCCAGTTCCTTAAATAGCCTGTGATTAACGCAGGCAGGGGAAACCGAAGTCCCGACCTTAATGAGTCGGCAAACATGCCTACACAACCCGGTGGCGGACAAGTAATCCTTTCGCCTAGATAAGGGGCGAACAACTTTACCGACGAGGGAATATAAACCTCTTCTCGAAGGATGACAATGTCGGCATCAGTAAGAATACTCGGTTCCCCCCTGTACTCGTCAATTGGTTCAGGCCACCGACGAGCAGGACGTCTCCAATAATCCGGAAGCGACATAGCGTCTTCTTCAACTCGTTTATCCTCGTCGATAAGGTCCTTATTGAGATTCAATCGCTTCACCAAAAGAGGATCCCACCGATAATACTCGAGAGGCAATTCCAAATCCTCATCGGTGAAGATCGGAATATCAGAAATCGTCCGGCTACTACTATCCTCGGTCCGCGCAGACATTTTTTCTCCCAAAATCGATAAAAATAAAGAAAAATTCGAAATAGAATAAGAGAACGGAAAAGATTAGAGCAAATCCTTACCAAAATTTCCGAAAGCCCTAAATTGTAGAAAACGCCGACGAAGTGCGCGAGGTAAAGGATTTAAAGGAAAAATTGCAGAAAAAGCAAGTACACGAAGAAGATATTCAAAGGAAAGAGCACAAGAAAAAGCAAGAGAGAGTTTAAGGTACAGAAATTTTTCGCACATCGAAACCGACTATAATTTATAGGTTTTGATTTATAACCGTTGGAGACATCCAGAAACGGCGCGTGTAACGGACGTGTCTTAAAACGACATAACATCACAGTAATTATTAGTACACGTGGCTACGTCCTGAAACGCCATGTCGTTATAAATTTATATCCGTTGGACCCATTAAATGCGGACACACCTTTTGAGAGCCGCCATGTCAGACCAAGTGTCATACAAGAAATATCCAATAAAGCAAAGTGTTTTCATGTCGGTAGACAAAGCAAAACAAGTCGGAATAAAGCAGAACAACAGACGACATCAGCAACTATTCAAGAAGCTTCAAATACCTACTGATGTCGGGGGCCTCACTGTTGATATCCAATCCGATAACAGAAATTGAAGATGAAGATTAATCAAATTATTGAAGAAATAAATTCTCAAGAATAACTTACCGCAAGTCGGTATTTATTAAAATAAGTTACCGACTTCTACACAGTTACCGACTTCCGAAGATCTTCAAGAGAACCACCATCTGAAGACAAGGCAAGTGAACCGACTTCAGTTCAACCGACTACCACAAAGTCTAAATATTCCAACAGAAAGTAATCATTAGAAGCATCTGATTGGACCAGCAAAACAAAAAGGCAATCATTGATGTTTCCCACCGCTTCAAGTAAAGCAGCTCAACATTAAATGCGTCTTTATCCATTTCGAGCTAAAAGACAAAAAACCACCGTACTATAAATAGCAGAATTTATGATGGTACGAGGATCGGGAGAACACATTGTACACGGACTTATAATGATCTCGGTTTTCCATGCATAACCGACTCCTGTACTCTTGTGGACATGACAAATAAAATCAAATTAAACGATTGTCTTTGCGTTCTTTACATCAACTGTGTTTAATTTAAAGTTGTTAATTCAAGACAACAACAAGAGTGACATATGATCATTACAACTATACCCACTCTGTTATACATACAATTCATAATCTTCTTCAGCACCGTTTATGATTTAAATATTGAAACTTCTATGACGGGACAACCCCGCGCAATATTACAGGTTTTTCACCGGCTCATGGACATATTAAATTAATAGATGTTCAACCGAGTTGAGGTTGTTTGACTACCAGTAAAAAATAAAAATGTTATTACAACAAAAATTATACGAATCATTCCTTATATCATAAATTAATATATATATTATATATATTTTTTTACTAGAAAATGAATTTATGAACAATTAAAAAATACTTTAGCTCCGAAAATTTCTGTACAGGAGGGACAACTCGAGCACGGCTGACTCGGCCACTCGGTATCGCGAAAAAAAAAAAAAAATCTCTCTCTCTCTCTCTCTCTCTTCTTCTCTCTCTCTCTTCTTTTCTCACGTTCGTTCAGGAATTTTATGTCGTCTATTAATATCATCTGCTGTTCATCGAAATCGAAACCCTCGTCTCCGTCACACTCACACTCGCAGAAAATATTTGGTTGAAGGGAGAAATTATGTGCGAAGAAAAGTCTGCTGGTTTTTCTAAGTTCACATCAATGTTATTGTGAGTGGCATGCCATTTTTCATCATGGGTGCATGAATGGATCCTGCGTATATGCTCGGACGTAGTAACATTGGGAAGGGATAGGTATTTTGATCCTTGATTGGGAATAATTTGTGGTGGAATTATAGATTTCTGAGTTTCTAATCTCATTTGTTAATTGTTATGCTCATTTAAACAGATATGGGGTAGTATTGCCTTTTCTGTCTATTGCTCATCTTTTTAATTCCTTGTCTGATGAATTTTCATATAATTGCATTTATTTGTGTAAGTCCTACTTTTTGTTGATTGATGATTCCTTTTGCTGTTAATGGTAGGGATATCTTTCATTGTTTCATGCACGAGATGACAGTTGGTGGGACATTTTCTCTTATGATAGCTGATGATTGTATATTACTTTCAAGAACTAGGGTGGCATTCAACTGAGTGGGATTGGGTCTGACTTTCCAAACATGGCTCAACAGTCATCGCGGCTTAATCGATTGCTAACGCTGTTGGACAGTATCCTTTATAGAGTTGCTCTTTTGGGACTTCAGAAATTGGCTACGGTGTTGCTGCACAAATTAATTAGTTTGCATTGCGTTTGGGGATCAGTATGAGTGATGCTAGTATGCACTCAAGAGTTTTATAGCAGAGAGATTACTGCCTTTGTCTTTTAAATATTGATTGTTGGCTGTGCTATTCAAATGTTGTTGTGATAAACATATTTAATATTTCTGTATTTTTCGTTGTTGAATTCTCATTTTCTGGTATTGTTATTAATTGCATCATATTGAAAAACCATTCTTTCCTTAACAAATGCTAAGCGGGTTCAACTCAGGCAACAAGGTTTTCAGCAGCAAGGCAGATAGGAGAGATTGCCAAATCTCATCCTCAGGATCTCAATGCTCTTTTGAACAAGGTAAATGAGATCGTCTTTTAATTTTCTAATGTGAACTGGTTGGGTTGGTCTCTGCAAATGTCAGGGTTTTAGTCCATATTATTATCTCAAGGAGCCAAAGTTTGTCCATTTCTTTATTTAGTTTGTTTTTCTCTTGTTAACATTAATTTTGGTGAATTTAGATGGAGGCAAATTCTTTACATTTTCTTTTGATTACCCAATCATCCATAAAATGTTGATTGAAGATACATGAATGAAAACAAAGTTGATTATCACCTTTATATAATTACATGATGAATGAAAATAAAGTTGAATGTCATTTTTTTATCTTTCAATATTTGTCCTTTGTGTCCTGTGAGAAAGCTTGGAGGTTTAGAGAGATAATGTTTACATGTGACAGTTTTGAATATTTGATTTGATTTTATAAGACAGTAGACAAAGGTCAAAACTAGGAGTCATGGTGATCTACGTGTTTGATATCCATGGAAGTGCAAGTGATGCAGCATAGTATTGTCATACTATTGCTATTTTGGTTCATCTTCTGAGTACTAGTTATATAGAGGAAATGTGTGGATGCCAGAGATGCAAGTACTTTCTGGTAAAATCGGTATCAGGAATTTTATTGATCTCCAGAAGCACCAGTGTTGATTTTTTGTTGATTGGCCTAAAAGTTGATTTTAACAAAATTAATACTTTTCGATTTGTTGTTCTCTCTTTTCAATGTGGCTTGACCCGCATAAATTATTACTATAGATGTCCCAGTATTTACGGAGTAAAAAGTGGGAGACCAGAGTAGCTACTGCTCATGCCGTGGGAGCTATTGCAGAGAATGTCAAACATATATCTTTGACAGAACTCTCTAGCTCCGTGGAGTCAAAGATTTCAGAAGCTGGGATATCTGCTACATTTGAAGATGTCGTGACATGGCCAAACTTCCATTCTAAACTTGGAGGAAGCATTTCTTTTCGAAGGTATTTCAATCTCATAGTATGTGTTTTATTATTTCGTTTGACAGTCTTTAAACTGCATGCGTAAAATTTATCTACACAATATGGTGCCTAGTGATGTTATCTCATGTACGTATTTGGTTGCTCATAATATATTTGGTGATAAAATTTTGTATCTTGCAGTTTTGATCTAAACAAGGTGTTGGAGTTTGGGGCTTTGGTGGCATCTGGTGGACAGGTACTTTTCTTTCATTCCCTCTTGTGGTGAAAAAGAGGATTCTGTTTTTTGTTTATTTCTTACTTTTTTCTACAAACAACGTTAGAGATTTTCCTTATTGTGTTTCGTGAAAAAACGCTAGTTGGAAAGGTATATTTTTATTATATCATTAAAGATATACACCAGTTAAATTTATTTTGAAGTTGTAGGGTTAGTGCTCCAAATATGGGGCATCCGTGACTAGCATGCTTTATGGCAAAGATTACGGTGGACACTATTTAGAGAAAGTGAGAAACTTATAATTATGTCGCGTGAAGTTAAATCTAAATATTTCTATGCCTTTTTGTGAGTTGGGAGTTGTATGATTTCACAACTCTGTCATGTGATGATCTCTCTCATGATGGAACATAGAAGATTTGTATCCAATTTATTTGGGGTTTAATGCACCAAATCCCCCTATATTATATTAAATCTGGGCGTTTCCCCCCTATATTTTAAAAATTGCGTCAGTCCCCCTTCTATTAAGGTTTTACATGCGCGAAACACCCTAAACCGTCTAAGATGACGGAAGTGGCGTGCACGCGCGTGCTGTGCGGCTTTTTCTTCATTTTTTCACCCCAAAGTGGCGGAAATTACTGTGTTACCCTTGAATTATGTGCAAAACCTAAATGTTACGAAATGTGGGCAACAACATTTGAACCTGGGTTGGAAAGGAAGGGAATGGCCGCTCAACCACTAGGCCATATGGATGGATATGTAATCTATTGAACATAAATATATTTATACATCATACTGAAATGAATTAAATAGTTTAAAAATAAGTAAATAAATAAAATAAAAGGATAATATGTCAATTTACTATAAATTAAATAATTAATAATAATAATACTAATAACTTCCAATAAATTAAAGTAACTTAAAATAATGAAAAAAATTAAATTAAAATAAAGTAAGATAAAATTTAATGTATTAGCGTGAACTAAAATTAAATAAAGTTATAATT